GGCATCGGAGGCGGCATCGGAGGCGGTATCGGTGGCGGTATCGGTGGCGGCATCGGTGGCGGAATTGGAGGTGGTTTCGGTGGTGGCAGTGGAGGCGGTTTAGGAGGGGGCAATTACTCCCCACCTTCTAACCTGTACAGCACACCATAACGTCATCCAGATGTCAAACATTTCCTCAGGAAATATCATATTATTTCATACAACCTATATGTTATCTATATTTCAGTTCTGTGTATTTATTAGCTGATGGAAAATAATAAAAGTTATTTTGAGAACATATTGTTTACATAACTTTCGTAAATTATGGATAAACGGATCTTAACTTTAATAAGTATGAATGGTTACATGGAGAATCGGTTTGCAAAAATATATTTACGGAATATTATGCATTTCTGATTACGTTTATAAAAGATGATAATGATAATGATTAATCATGATTGTGATATTAACTATGTTAACGATGATTGTCGTAACAAAGAGAAAAATAAATATGATTATGACAATAATAATGATAACAAGTAGGATTTCAATGATAGTAACAATGATATTTATGATAACGATGATAATGACCTGATGCTTTTAGTAGATTATCATGCACTTCATATTCAGAAGATAATGACCAGAAAAGAACTGAATAATACATAATAACCGCGAAGTATAGCAGACATGACTTTCCAGTTAGTCTATATTATTTGCAAACGCTATCCTTGTGTTCTTTCGTTCTTCGATTAACCCTTTAATACTACGAAAGGTAAACATTGTACGTCAATTATATTCGTATGTAATTCCACGTACATACATGTATCTATCTCCATATATAGAATAAATATCCCAATTGTTGGGATATTTTGTCGATAATTGACAGGAAACCTAAATCATTTAACGATTTCCTTCTCTGAGTAAAATTGATTGAATTGTTAAACTGCCAAATAAGCAGCATTTATTTTAAAGTTAGCAAGTTTGGAGTACCTACCGTTGTCAGCTCTAGAGTAACTGTCACTGGCAGACCTGGAGAAATTGGAGTAATGGCCGTTGTCAGTTTTGGAGTAATTGGCGTTGACAGCCCTGGAATAATTGTTATCAGACCTGGAGTAATTACCGTTGGCAGACCTGGAGTTGTCATTAACAGCTTTGGACTAATGATTGTTGTCAGCTGTGGAATAATTGCCGTTGTCAGCATTAGGGTAAATGACGTTGACAGCCCTGGAATTATTGTTGTCAGATTTTGAGTAATTGTTGTTGTAAGACCTGAAGTATTTGCCGTTGTCAGCTTTGGACTAATTGCAGTTGTCAGCTCTGATGTAATTGCCGTTGACAGACCTGGAATAATTGTCGCTAGTCGACCTGGAGTAATTGCCATATAACCTCTGACCTAAGTACGATTAGCTAAGCATGTAGTAATAACAGTTTCGTCTGGGTGGTTAGAACAGTTGTTTGGTAGTAAACGAATGAATGAATGGTGTTGTTAATTAGTATTCGCGTGTTCGTTTACTAGTCCACACTATGTCTCTGTCTCTGTCATATTTTATATATCCATGCAGGTATTAAAGTTAATGCATTAAATTCAAACTACAGCAAGGAATGGCCCGTTCTATATTGCATGCATGGATCATATCTGTTCAGCTAACGCACATGGATATTATTGTTATATTGGTTAGAAAAATACATTGCCTATATGACTTTATTCACCAAGAAACGTATATTAGTATTAGGTAATTCTTAGATCATAGGAGCATGTGTGTGTGTGTGTGTGTGTGTATGTGTACGTGCGCGTATGTGTACATACGCGTATGTGTGTGTGTATGTGTTAGAATGTTGCATTATTAACAGTCCCTACAAAATAAAATATAACAGCAACTGTCACTTCCAAATGGGATTCGATTGTTACTTCTGATATTGAAAAAAAAAATCTCAAGATTTATTTTATCATTTTTAGATTTACCCATCGGCTGTGATAAACTCACCGAGGGAGAAAGGAAAGACCTTGTGATGGTCAACACGAAGTGTTTATAAATACCAAGTCGCAGGGGGACAAGACATCGACTTCCATCATGAAGCTCTTGGTGTGTGGTGCTTAACTTACTGCAAGATTTTCGTGTTTTCGTGGATGTGAATGTGGTCTTGTACAATCTGGTAGATAGACGAAGTACTGCTTTATAATGCCTAAGCGATACATTACTTTTCTTTTAGGTCTTGGCACTCGTAGCTGCTGTGTCTGCTGCCCCTCAGGGTTACGACCTAGGCACGCCCTCTGGACCTTCCTTTGAGTCTGGGAGCTGTGGGGATGGACAAGTACGACATGTGGACGGCAGTTGCGTGACACCTCAAGTGAACAGCCGTGTGTTCCTCTATGATGTGCCAGCAAACGAAGGTGTTGTCAATCGGCCAGACTACATTCCAGAACCTAAATTGGAACGTAATATCATATTTGTGAGACTTCCTGACGGGGCAGATGGACCAGAACCTATCGTCGTACCACCGCCACAACAGCAACACGTCGTGTATGTCCTGAACAAGCAGTCAGAACAGGACCAGCGAGTGATCGAGGTTCCAGCACCGCCACAATCCAACCCCGAAGTGTTCTTCGTGAACTACGCAGAAGGAGAGAACCCGACTCTTCCCAGCGGAGTCGACCTCCAGACGGCGCTGAGTTCAGCATCCCAGGGCGGCGGCCAAGTTGTTGGAGGTGGTGGAGTTGGAGGAGGAATCGGAGGTGGTATCGGTGGTGGCATCGGAGGTGGAATTGGAGGAGGAATAGGAGGTGGTATTGGAGGTGGTATCGGGGGTGGTATCGGAGGTGGCATTGGTGGTGGCATTGGAAGCGGCATCGGAGGTGGGATCGGAGGAGGTATTGGAGGTGGTATCGGGGGTGGTATTGGTGGTGGCATTGGAAGCGGCATCGGAGGTGGGATCGGAGGAGGTATTGGAGGTGGTATCGGGGGTGGTATTGGTGGTGGCATAGGAGGCAGTATCGGAGGTAGCATTGGCGGTGGTATTGGAGGTGGTTCTGGAGGTGGCAGCTACTCCCCTCCTTCTAATATCTACAGCACACCGTAAAGGCAACCAGACAAAACTGTTATTTTTTATATCTCTATATATATTTATTTGTAGATCAGAAAATAAATGCTATTATAGCAACCGATACTTTGCATGGCCTGCACATGCACGGATATCATAACTTGAAAATGTTAATTGATTAGTAATGGAAATAAAATTGATCCATAAATTCTACGTGGCCCTTTACTTATTTCTTAAATGTTCCTCATGATAGTGAAATAAGAATGGTGAAGATGCTGACAACAGGAAATATATAATCACTGTCACTAATAATAAATTACCATAAAACTTAATGAATAATGAATAATCACTGTTATCATCATTGGGGGCTAACGCCGACGGGGGCGCATGGCCGCATCTACCCTTCGCTTCCAGTCACTCATGGCGAGTCTCCAGGCAGGCCAACGGCCCATCTCTAACTCCTCACGACAGGACTGGTCGAACTGCCCAAGCCATGACCTCCTAGGTCGTCCCACGGGCCCCTTCCATCCATGACTGTCTCGCAAAGAGATAATCTGATGGGCAGAGTAATCTACAGGAAAACGAGCTAGGTGCTCATCTAGCTCGAGTAAGCGGTCCCGGATTATGTAAGTAACAGGTTTCATGTCAGTCTACCGGTTTAATCATTGGTTGGACACATGGTCCTGCCAGTTATACTCCATTATCCGGCATAGGGACTTGTTACAAAAGACGTCAAGACGAGACTTCAAGGCACTAGACAACGTCTAGAGCAAAACTGGCAGTATCAAGGCCCTAAAGACACGTAACTTGGTCCTTCTGCATAGGTACCGACATCTCCAAATGCTCTTGTTGATTGAATTCATGGATCCTGCTACCAGATCAACCCGTCTACTGACTTCTTGGTCTGGCAGCCCAGAGACATGGACTACGCTACCAAGGCATGAAAAGCTCTTTGTGACACTTGCATCAGTGTAAATTCTTTCAATGTTATGTTAAGTTGCCTGGTTTTGTAAAAACAGTTATTATACATGTATTGTCTTAAAAATCAATTATTGTATATGTATTGTATATGTATTTATTTTACATACTACATTTTACATGATAATAACTGTTATGATGATTATGTTTCTTAAATAACGTTTCAGGGGGCCTTCCTAACGGAGTGGTACTCCTTGAGGGCTCAGCCATGTTATCTATAAAGTGTGTGAAAAATGTAAAGGTAGAAATGTACATTATTTAGCTAAATAAAGCATTTGAATCTGATTTTGAACGTCCTCACCGCAAACATGTATCGACCTAGACCTTGATCTTGGTCCAGGAGACCTCAAGAGCTTCATCTCATTGCTAAATGCACCAAGAGCCACCACCAGTGATTCCAGAGACTCAGATAGGATAGCATCATCGTCAGCAAAGTCGAGGTCAGTGACCTTGACATTGCCCAGTGTTCTACACTGACTTTGGTTAGCAGCTCTGCCCATTATCCAGTCCATGCAAGTGTTGGTGCAAGGACACAGCCTTGCCCCACCTCTGACTTAACAGGGAAGAAGTTCGACATGCCTCCCTCCAGACTTTACGACACTTTCATAGTATATGGGCTTGCTGTTACGCCAATAATCCGTATCGGAATTCAGGATCTCGGGACCTCCCATAGCGATTCGCGATGTACCGAGTCAAACGCCCCCTTGAGGTCGAACTCACGCCGGCGTTCCACATAATGAATAATGAATAACCATGAAACGGTTTTATGTATATATATATATATATATATATATATATATATATATATATATATATATATGTATGTATGTATGTATGTATATATGCACACACACACACACACACGCGCACGCGCGCGCATATATATACATATATACATATAAATGTATATACATAAGTATACATACATACGTATATATACATATGTGTGTGTATGTGTATATGTGTGTGTGTGTACAAATATATATATATATATATATATATATATATATATATATATATATATATATATATGAGTATATATACATATATATACACATGTACATACACATATACATATATACATACATACATGCATATATATATATATATATATATATATATATATATATATATATATATATATATACCTGTCT